GAAGAAAATTTTGAAACCCGGCATTGTCGAGACGTTACCGGATGATGGCGAGAGAAGTATTTCACCGCCAAGTTCCCCGTTGATGATGACGCCTTATCATTTCGTCACGTTGATAACAAGTATTCAACAATCTCAAGCGGAGTTTAATCAAAAACTCCTGGAGCAATTTAAGGCACCGTCACCTGCTCCGTCTACATCTACTTTCGCTAGTGGTAGTTTCGCGAAGTGTACCGCGCGGTTTGATGGCTCTACGTGTTCGGACGATGCAGTGGAGGCATTCATAGACTCTGTTCAAGTGTTCAAAGAGTGCGTTAGCGTATCCGATGAACATGCGTTGCGTGGTTTACCTATGTTGCTCACGGGAAACGCAGCTATTTGGTGGCAAGGTCTAAAAGGAACCGTAAGTACTTGGAATGCTGCAGTCGAAGGACTCCGTTCTATGTACGGTGTGAAGAAACCCGCGTATAAACTTTTTCGTGAACTCTTTTCGTGCGAGCAAGGCAATATCCGTGCCGAAGTATTTTTGTTCCGCGCTCGTTCAACGATTTCAAAATTACCGTACGTTGTCGATGAACAGATGAAAGTAGATATGGTGTATGGTTTGATAGACCGACGTATTCGCGAACGTGTTTTGCGTGAAGAAGTAAAAACTTTCGACGAACTTATTGAGAAATCGCGAGCAGCCGAGGAAGCCGTAGATGAGTTCCGCGCATCCGCGTACAACCGTCGAGACCATAGAAAAACAATCGTCGTCAAACATAACAGAGGACGCATCGAAGCAGCAGCGGAATCGCCCTCGATGTAATTACTGTAAGAAATACGGACACGTCGCTGATGAATGTCGTTCGTTAGCAGAAAAAAACAAACGTACCGATACTAGTGGAAAAGAAGAAGCGTCAACCAAGTCCAAAATACGTTGTTATGGTTGTGGTCAGCCAGGGGTGGTTCGAGCGAAGTGTAAAAAATGCCAAGAAACCGTTCCGTCTACAACTGAGGCTGAATGCCGAAGTGCGGACACAAGTGTGATAAGATCGAAACCAGAAGTTCGCGTGGAGATTATGATAAGGTACGGTGTTGCGACTATAGACACTGGAGCAACACACAGCATCGCTGGACCGCTTCTCCACAAAATCTTACAAAGAGAGGGAGCCGCGTTTCACGAAAAGCAAATGTTGGTCAGTCTAGCCGCTGTCTGCTTGGCGGGTAAACGAATCAACACCACTTTTGTTATTCTATCCAACGCAGAAGACCACAAGACGTTACTGGGTCAAGATTTCATCGTTGAAGCTCAGTTACAACTAGATCTACCGCAAGGAATATGGTGGTACGCCGATGAACCGAACCGAAAACATGAATTCGTTCGCGACTACAAGCTTGTAGAAACTCAGTGTGAGTTAAAATCTGCCACAATCTGTGAACTGTCACTTCGAGATGATGAAGGACAAGAATTATCAGAAAACTAACAAAGCATCATAGAAAATCTTATCAAGAAACATGAAAAACGTTTTGAGAAGAATGGGCCTGCTACTGGGTTTGCCATACATTATATCCGAATAAATCCAGATCAAGAGCCAATCGCTTCATCGCCATTCCGACTTTCTGAAGGAAGAAAAGAAGTTTTAAAACAAGAAATTGAAAAACTCCTAGCAGATGACATCATAGAAGAATGCGAATCACCTTGGGCATCAAACGTAGTATTGGTTCCAAAGAAAGACGGTAGTAGTATAAAAACGAGAGTTCCCGACCGGAAGTTAATCCCCCTAATCCCCCTGTGACGTCTGCGCATGCGCGCGCAGGAAGTGACGTCATAGCGCGGGAAATTTTAAATTCAAAATGCATGTGGCGCCATCTGGTGGTGTGTAGTGAAACTAAAACATGTCATGTTGATTGCCTACGTCGTGAGGCGCCACCTAGCGGCGGATGGCGGAACAAACCCGGCGGTGGATGGTGGAAGTAGCGTCATGGGGCTCCACCTAGCGGTGGAACTCACATGGTGGATAGACGACGCGCGCCCACTTAGCGGTGGCCTGATGGACGATAGATGGCGCGCGTAAATTTTTAAAAATTCATGCGACGTTATAGAATTAAGATACAATTAATATAAAAAAGGTTTCGGTGGTGTAACTTAACGGAATATATATAATACTTACTTGTTATAGGAATTGAACTGATAGCTGCAAGGAGAAATCTAGAAACTTTAAAGTCAATAAACCACCGAACCACCGAAACCTTTCCAGTTCAATGCTTAGCAGTTGAACAGAACAAAAAAGAAATAAAAAACTTAAAAATTTTATTAATATTTGCTTCGCAGTCTTAATTATAAGAAAAGAGAATCAAAAACAATAGTATAGTTATAAAATATTTAAAAAAAATTTATTTAAACATTTTTATTAACATTTTACTTTCTAACGTTTTTTTACAAACTCGATAAGAACATTTATTTTACGTTTTACAAAAAAATGTATTAACATTTTACTTTCTAACGTTTTTTTTATAAAGTCGATAAGAACATTTATTTATTTTACGTTTTTTACAAAATCGATGAGATGGGCTGGATTCCCTTTTCCGACATCTTTTACTGCTTTGAATATTAAGCTCATACCTCCTAGCTCAGTAATTTCACCATCCGTAATCACCTCTGCGATGCGTTTAGGTAAGAAAACGGAGAATTCATCCTCCAAATCTACGACAACTGACGGTCATGCGCATGATGTAATCCGCTTCGCAGACTTAATCACATACATTTTATTCACCTCTAATTCGGATATATTTTTCTTCGGGGAAAATTGACACTGACCTAATTGACTTAAACGTGACATACTAATACCTTTTATAAAGTGAGCGAGCGATGTGAGTAGTAATAGAAGATAGTAACGGTAGTAACTGAGTTCCATATGAAAATTTTAACCGTTTATATACCATCGAAAAAACCTTGAAACATTTTAGAATGCGAGTTGCGCGGTAATCAATAACAACTTAAACGTTTATACGCAATTTAACAAACATAAAATGTAATAATCAGTAAAATTAACAAATATAGTATTTGCATTACGATACACATATAACGTGAGCGAGCGGTGTGAGCAGTAGTAGAAGGTAACAACTGACTTCTATATGAAAATTTTAACCGTTTATACCATCGGGAACAACCTTGAAAAATGTTGGATTGTGTGTTGCACAACAACAATAACTTAAACGTTTATACGTAATTAGACGAATATAAAGTTGTTATACAATGCAAATAATATATTATGCATTTTATTTTCTCGAATCTTCGCCGCACCTTGATTTATTGACAGTGTATGCAAATAGAAATGCAAATGAAAATAGAAATTTAAAATGCAATAAAATAAAGTTGACTATAATACAATGTATGACGTGTTTTAACTGGAATAAATATGAAATCGGTTCGATTTAAGGAAGAGATTGAGATTTATGAAGTAGAGTGTGATGATGTACATAAAAGAGCAAGAAGTGGACGGGAATGGTTAGAGGCGGTAATTGATAGACAACGATTTCAAAGACGTATTAAAGAAATTGAACGAATTGTTGATAAAATATTGCGTGAAAAATTGTTAAAAATGAATGAATAAATAAAACTTAATAAAATATATATTGTTTTAATTACTTTAGTTTTAGTATACAGTTGTATAAAACCTATTGATGCACAAAAGAAACGTTTAAACAAAACATATAATTTGAAGGTGGAGGAGATAAGTATACTACTAAAATAAGGGCCAGATAANTTCCAGGTAAATTTAAGGATGAATGTAAGGGAGATATTCTAACGGAATTTATTGCATTAAGAGCTAAAGTATACACATTAAAGATTAATAATAAAGAAATATCACCTAAAGTAAAAGGAATTGGAAGAACCGCTTCAAAATTATTAACCTTTAAAGATTTCGAAAACGCTCTATTTAACGATTCAATTAAATTAAGCAATTTTAATAGTATTCGTTCAAATAATCATCAATTATATTCGGTGAATATAAATAAAATTTCATTGAGCAGTAATGATGATAAGAGATTTATTTCCTCTGACACTCCGATAATCACGTTTCCGTGGGGACATTATAAATTATAAATAAAAAAACTGCAGCATCTGCTTCTAATGAGTGGGGGAGCCCGCATCCATATAATATATATAGACGCAAAAATTAAAGTTTCGAATAGAAAATAGCATCGTCTCGAAATGTTTACTCGGAGCAGATTAGTACGGGCATACGGAAACTCGATCCGAGTAACGTTTGTGAATGATGAGGCGATAGTACCTCTCGCACCCGCATTTGGTGAGTATACTTTTATTGTTTTAAAAATGTTTTTATTATAATTTATTACCAGCGCTGCCGGTAGCAGCAGCAGCAGCAGAGGTGGCGGTGACTCCAAACGGTGAGCAATATTTTTTTCTCGTTCTACTATTATTATACCCTATTTTTTTTCATTTTTTGATGTTATAGAAATAATTTATATAGAAGATTCACCGCCGCCAACACCAGCGCTGATACCGATAGCATCGAACGGTAAACAATATATTTTCATCTTACCATAATTATCTCTTATTTTTTAATTTTTTATTGATATAGAAATCGTGTACATGATTAGCGATAGTGAAGAGGATGAGGATGAGGGGAATGGAAGCGAAAGCACGGTATACTACCCTCAAGGACAAGATTGGACAGATAGTCCTGCATCTCCCTCGGAACAACGTCCTCCCCCAATTTCACCCGTCATAGTATTTGATATCGATTTTTAGATGCTATCAATGGTAAGCAATATTTTTTCCTCATCCTAGTATTATTATATCTTATTTTTTATTGTTATAGAAATTTCGGTGCTAGTGAAAAAAAAAAGAGGATGAGAGAAGTATATTACTGCATGCATCCTCTTATTATCATCTATATTTTCGCAATCACACCGCCGTCTTAACAGTATAATGTTGAGCCACAACGTGATAAAATGTATTGGATGTTCAGGGATTCGCCATCTCCACAGAGGATTTAAAGTGAAGGAATTGGCGATATCAGATGGTACCCATCTTGTATTTCAACCTGCAATAGCCAAAACAGCATCTCAATAGAAAAGAAACCACGGATGTAGAAGAATTTACATAACATCCCCTACGATGATGGGGACGTTCCATACTCCTTGCTCAAGGAAATTTTGTTGGAGCGTTTAAAGGATGTGGAGACGATTGGAGAAGATTTTTTAAAAATTTAGCTATCATAAATTTAGATATAAATAAGATGTGTCCTGTTTTATAGAAACAGGAAAATCCTTCTCATCATCATCATCAT